AGCCACACCATCCCTATCTATCTATCGTACCCACCGACCTGACCTTCTCAGCCTATATCCAGCTCCTGGGTTTCACCGCGCACGCGTCAGAGATTTCGCTTGCACTCGCATGGATGCGCGCGCTGCAGATACATCCCTCGCGGAAGACATTGTCCATTGCGCTCGTGTTCTGGGCTGAAGTGTCCTTGCGCGGTCCGTTGTTTGAGGAGTGGGCAGAACGACGAAATAAAGGGGAGAGTGAATATGGGCGGCTAGTTAGGTGGATGACTGAGTGGGTCGGGGAGGAGGCTCCGACAGAGTGGGATATACAAAAGGCGTTGAGAGCGGTGGCCAAGATGAGAGACAGTTCTTTTGGTTCATCTTGATGTACGATTTTTCACATTTTAATGCCGCGTTTATTGGTCGAAGTTAATGCAGCAACCACTAAGCTCTGAGCTCCACCCGATAATCATCTGTCTCACAACAAGCAAGTTACGCAAAGACATCACAAGAAATACATATCACTAGTTAACAAATTGTCCGTAAATCCCGAGCGAAGAAGAAATAGTGCAGGGCAGAATGAAGGATTGGCTAAAGCAGGCAAACTGTTAGTAAACGGAGGAAAGAATCAGTGACTCCATCGTACACATACTAACAGTTTCTGTCCATCAGGAAACAACGTACCGGGAATGTTCCATTGCGAACCGAGAAGACACGATTTCCAATTATAAGTGGAGGTCAGCAGAGGCAGTTGAGTCGGCTGCGGCTTTGACGTTTCAGCACCTCAGGCCAGGCCGAGAAGGGCGGTCAGGAGGGATTACTTTTCAAGTAGCCTGTCAACAGATGGAAACGACTGTCACGGCCTGAGAAGGAGACGGTATAAGTAATATTTCAACAGACATCAGAGACAGACTCACCGTCGAATTACCGGAGTTCCAGGTTAGAGAAAAAACGGAGGTCAGAAAGTGTCGCTCACAAAGAGGACGGGGATGGAAAAAATTATGTGCGCACTGCGTGCAGCAACGACTGATGACTCGGAGATCCAGAGAAATCAACGCCTCAAAGGACGAGTACAAGGAACTTCGCCGGTTAATGACATCCTCACATAGTCGTGGTCATTCTCGTTGTCCAGGTCCAGATTATGTGGCGTTAGTCGGTGTTAATTTTGCAACGGGGTGGGTTTAATCGCGCTGTCAATCTCTGCTCGTGAGCATGTTGACGAGGAAGCAGACTTCGTAATAATGGCAATGTGCCACGACCGGACCCGGCGACTCTGAGGGAGCAAGCAGGGTGGAACGTCAGCCAAACACCTGCAACTTCAACCCGACGCGGAGACTGAGCTCGGCGGGCATCATCAGTTTCATTAACAGGGGACCCAAGTTCCACGTCCCGAGCCACCCACAAAGTCCCGATGCTGTCCTGTCCCGGTGCTGTCACGGTCCACGCCGCGAACAACGCTCATGGTGGACAGCACCTCGAGTGTTGAACATTAAATTTTGATGTCCATTAAAAAGATCGCTGTAGAAACCTAGGCGTGGACAGGAAAGCAGCGTCAGTGGTGAGGCTGGCAGGTGTGGCGGATAAGACATACTAGCAGCTGTTGCGTCCTGTGAATGTTTCACGCCGGACCCTGGGTGCAATGAGGAAAACAAAATGTTAGTCGTCTGTAATATAGACAGTGAATGGGACGCCGTGACATACTCTATGGTGCTGAGCGTGGAAGATCAAGGGCAGGGGTGGGGCGAAAAGGACGAGAGTGTCAGGATGCCAACGCCACTGCATGTACCAGGTACCTCACAGTCACATACCTTAGTCAAACATCCGGCATGGGATGAGGAGGTCGAAAGCTATGTGAAGATGAACGGGTAGAGGAAAGAGCGGATGAAGGGGATGAAGCAGGACCAAGGGAGTTTATATACCACAGGCGGCAAGCGGCTGACATTTAACAGAGCAACTTGAACGATACATAGCGGGGTAAATTTGCCAAATGCGGAATTATCGCTCAGAGACGATACTGGTCGCAAACGTCATTGTTTCTCCTCCAAACATGTGTTCAGTCTGGGCGTTTCAAAGGAAACTGTAACCTCGGCCATGGTTTCCAGAGACTTCATAACTGCATACGCGTCGATAACTACATGTACGCATATATATGCACCAAACGATATTGGTCGGTCAAGCTTGGAAATCTTCATTAGTTAGTGGACGAACAGCATCAAGACTAATATCGGATTAGTATGAAATTACAAGTCGTATAGTGTGGACTTCTATAGTATATAGACGTATTGACCATAGACCGTCTACATCATTAATTCTATAGGTAAACTACAACACGTAAATCATCTGACCTGAATACAAGTCCATATGTATATCTGTGTCTAGGATGTAATAGGTGTCTGAGCATAACTTGAATGCTCCTCGCATGAGTAAATGACACATGTACTGTGGAATGTGTGAACACAGAGCACTAGTACTGTTGCCGGAGTCGGTATAAGGAAGATACAAGGAGATGGTTTGCGAGGAAGCTGCCATGCCATTCAGACAGGGATAGGAGAGAATAAGAATCTCTAAAAAGGGCTTGTGTTCCACTGAGGAGAAGGATGACACTGTGTGTAATAAGATCCTGGTCCGAGACTATGGTGGGATGACATGATGGGGAGCACTTAAGAAAAGCACCTGCAGTCCGTATGACCGTGGCCGCGGCGCAACCGTCGCGTGTTCCTCGCCATATGGTGGTAGGGAATGGTATTGTAGAGATCATGTTATTCACACGTGGCCTGAACAGGGCCATAACATTGCAGAGGATAGGCGCCAACTGTCCGAGCAGCCACAGGGTCAAACACGAGCATATTATCGCCAGTAATTCATAGTATCACTGCGATACTTCTGAAGCCGAGAAATTGTCCATGGCCAAGCACCATACATTATGAAGGTATGCCTGTAGGACCTATGCTGCTTGATGTCTCATATAACGCCCAGTGGCTGAACAACTGGGGATATGTCCATCCTACGCTCCGACAAAGTAGAAAACCGGAAAGTGTTCTTGCTAGAGCGTGCGGCTTGGGGAAAGCGCGAAAGGTGACCGAGTGTGCATGTTGGAGAGGCCCAAAATGCTGTGATAAATGACAGAAGATCCTTCCGATAGATGACTTGTCGAGGTGTGAACTGAGCAGGCAGGATTCAAGAAAGCTATGACGAGAGGCAGAACCGGACTAAGAGCAAATACAATATTTATCTTCAACAGTCCATGTTGAGGCGAATTCCTGGGGCAATGATCATCCTAGCATCGTCGTACGAAACGTCGAGGTGAAATTTCTAATAGGCCGCCTCTAGCTGGCAGTACTATTTGTGGTATCGACCAATGTTGCCCTCGGCTGACCAGTGAACCATATGCATGCACTCCACGACAAGTCCACGTCATCCATATTTAGCTGGCGCCAACTCTGCAAGAGTTATGATTAGCCTGCGCTCATCGATCTGTACACGTACTATCGATATGGTTATCGTGCGTATGATATATCCCGTCCGCTATGATCGTCGACACATGTCGGCGCCACTGGGCGTACTAATGACGATAAGAATAACCCTCACGCGCACGTGCGGATCTCGCAACGACGACCTATCGTTGTTATGTCGAATGTCCGTGTACTGAATCCTGATAGGCTCGTTGGCGCATGGAAATGTCCCTTTATGCGATCAAGGGTGGCCCGCGGTGACCCTATACTTATACGTGCTAAATTAGTCATCCTCGGACAAGCGCTAGATCAATTCGTTGCGGTCTACAGCCCTGCAGAAGCTCTGCGTTGGCATCTTGAAACATCATTGAACTTTGAGGCTTGTGGTATATACTAGGTTGAGCCCGGGTGTTTTTGTCCCCGAGATAACCGCTTGAAACCAATCCTGACCTCAGGTGGACACAATACGTGGAATCGGAGTGGGCGCAGTTTCTTGTAATTGATATGTACGTAAGGGTGCAATGTTATGATACCACCTAGGTCGTGTCATCAATGAGTATGATGAATTGGCGACATGAATAAGAAAACATGTTTATACTAACAAATGAATGTGCAGAGGGATCATGCATGCTTAATGTTACAAAACGTATCTGAAGTCCCTGTTTTGCCTATCTGTCAAATCCAGGAATTCCTAGTGCAGACAGGGTATCAGTTTTGTATACAAACAGCAAACATTGATTCGAAGAACCCACCTTGTCGACCTTAACTTCTACACGCTTCCCATCCTCAGTGATTTTCTCGATAACATATTCTTCCTCGTCGTCAACAGGCTCAGCGTCACGGATTTTGTTCTCTCGGGCGAGAACGACACGGATGACAAGGAGAAGTACCGGGCAGATGACGTAACATGCACCGATCACAGCCCATGGAACGTGGTTACTGGACATGAATCATGATTGCTTCCTTCCTAGAATCACTCGAAGAATAACCTACCGCGGCTTGTATTGTGTCTTCCACATGAAGGGGCCGGCTGCATTGCCAATGCAGTACGCCGAGAGCATAATGGCGTTAGTAACAACCTGCAGGTTGGTTTTGACTTGAGGAGCGACTTCCATAAGTTGCAGAGCACCTACCTTCTTCGTATGGCCAGCAGTCACACTATTAAGCCATGACAACGATAGCACGAACCCAGGTACGCTGCACCCAGCTGTGGAGCAATGAGTATACAAACACACTCTAGGTATCGAACGTACTCAGAAACTGGCCGATAAGAAGTCCAGTCTAATGTCGTGTAATGAGTGATATAAAGGACAACTAGATATTAAGTCACGTCACATACCTGATTCGACCAAGGAAGTAGGTTGACCAACAAGATGCCGAGCCACGACGGGACGAAGTACATAGCACCAACATATGCTCTGGAATTGGGCCGTCGTACAGCGAGCCGAACACCAGTAAAGATTGTCAAGATTTCAATGACACCAGGAACACAGGACAACAGAGTCGTCTGTAGAGCGTTGAATCCGAACGAAGCGAGGATGAGTGTTTGCTGGTTTGTCAATGAGTTAGGCACATTGTCCAAAGCCGAGAAGAGGGCGAAGAGCCATGTCTTAGGGTCAGTTAGGGCTTCGATCATCCTAGAGATGTGTAGTATGTGAGTCATGAAATATCACAATTGTATCTAATACGTACTGCTCCTTCTTGAATCGTTTGTTCTCTACACCTGTTTGGTTTTCCTGCGCTGATTGTAAGATAAGAGCTCATTTCATTTCGTTTGACAGACGTACTTTGATTCGTTGCACAGCTTTCGCCCGTTCGTCAGGAGTGAGGAACCAGGCGTTCGTAGGCGAGTCAGGGAAGAAGAACCTTTATCCGGCGGTGATGTCTTAATTAAAGGGTCAAGGCACTAGAAACCTGCATGTACTCACCAGAATGAGATGGCAAGGATCATTGTAATCAATCCAGTGATAATCATAAGCCTGCGGTCTATCAGACAGAGTATGAGTACTAAAAGGGAATGCCCAACCATTGCCACGGTTCAAACCCTGTGGTATTGATGTGCAAAGTACCGAAGCTGATGAAACCAGAGATGATTTGTGCTAGAGAGTTGCTGGCTTAGGCGGCAACATCGAGTATTGCAATTTTGTAAGCGCACCAGTACCATTCATCAGAACTAGGCCCCCACGGGTTTAATTAGTTGACTTGCCGATCATTTGCGAAATGGAACTTACACCAATAACCAACCCGTAAGGTCTGTTCCGTCCGCGTGTAGAACATGGAGCTAACAATCAAGAATCCAGCAGTGATCGACCCCTCACATACACCTAGCAACAGGCGCACAACAAGAAGCCCAGCAAAGTTTTTGCATGCTGCGTGACATGCCAGTGCGATTGCCCAGACGAAGATATTGATACTGACACATGCTTCATTGAAATTTCAATTGATGATGCTTTGAAGCCTACCTCATCCATTTCCCGACCGGGAATCTTTGAAGGGCAAGGTTCTGGGGATACTCGAAGACAAGATAACTGAGGTAGAACACTGTGCCAAGCCTGGAAGATACGGTAAGGCACATAGAAAATCGAGTAGTGCATATCTTCTCACCAATTGTACCTGAAGATAGCTTAGCTTCAGGCTTAAACTTCAACTCCAAGATAAGAACGGCTTACTCATTCGTAGTCAGGTTCGTAGCCTGCCTGATAACACACGGTGTCAGTACTGGGTTGGCTATTCTCAAGACGCAGTCCTTACTCAATTCCAAGGATGGCCGCTTCACCCCAAGGTTGTCTTGTCCATGAATTGGACCCTGCGCGAGTGAGCACTGATTCGTGGTGAATACAGTCAACCTACCAGTAAAGAACTGTATGGTGATTATCAGATACGATCACTACCGATTCGAACAACTGAATACAGCAATTGACTCACTACACATCATAGGCATGATATGTTTATCGATCTTCCTCCTGAAACGAAATCGAATGATGTTGATGAGCATGCAGTTTTACAACGCACCTTATTCTCAAAGCCTCATCGGGATGAAGAATTGAAGTTAACCCAGAGACGAGCTGAGCACCAGTGTCGACATCCTTGGTCGACAAAGAAACTCCTGCATGATGATTCTGGTCCTTGAGTACACCGGAGGATTCCAAACTCATCTTGAGAAGACGTGAGGGCGTAGCCGAACTGCGGACTGAGGAAGAAGCTGGAATCCGGCGCTTGCAAGTCGGACTATTGGGGAAGCTGGTTCGCCTATTTTATGTTGTCCCCCCATGCGCACGCTAAAGCTTGGCGCATCGTTGGCGTAGATAAGGGTGTATCATAGGATGTGTGCCTGGTCCTGGAGCCAGGTGAGTGTGGTAACATCCTAATCAAATTTACCCTCTCGATAGCAAACTGGCATACACGAGGCCTGGCGACCTTACATAAAAACATCATTCAAATTTCGGATCCAAATGTGTCACCTATCACTACATTTTTTCTCCCAGGATAATCAAGAACATATTAATATATATGCTACCGCGGGGGTACCGATAGGATCTAGCTCGAATATGAGACCAGGTCTGCCAGCTGGACTGTATATGCTAAGAATATATATATGGGTCCATTTAATGCCGCTGAGTTCAATTTATGGTCGGACAAATACTTACACCACGTAAGGTTTAAGTACTAATCCCGTTTAGGACAGGTTTGGCGACGCTTAGCGGTACTCGGATCCCGAACTGAATGAATCATTCAATTGAGCGGCAGCCCTTAAACCTTGCAATTGGTCGAGATCATTGAACGCTCTCAACGGCCGTCGGTCGAGCGTGAAATTTTCATTCACATATTCAATATTCAAGTTGTAAACTCTCAAACCCTGCACAGACCTTCAAAACTTTAGGTGCGCCTGACTGTAGATGGCTTTGTCTTGTGCACTGAATTTCACGCGGCTCTCTACATGAATGTAGATCTGACCCAGTCGCAGCGCACATACGTTTCACGAGCTCCCAGAGACGACAATTCAACCGCTGATAGCTGAACCGAAGCTGAACGGTTTTCCAACATGACGTCCACCATCACTGCGACCGCGTCTTTGCTGCCGACAGCAACGGGGCAGCTCAGTACACAACCGCCTATCACGCAGATCATTCCCATACTTCGTGCGACATTCAGCCTTCTGCGCACTTTCTTGTCTCAAGCCTTACGAGTTGTGGTCGCGCTTGCCACTCCGTTACTCATCTTCGTGCCCCTTATATCCCGCCTACTTGCTCCGGTTATACTCGTCTTCCATATTGTATTAGACGCCACAGTCTACACCCCATACACGATTATTTCCAACGTAGCTGCTGCGCTCTACCCCCTCTATATGTTCTGTGGTGTCGCTTGCATCTTTGGGGCGGTTCTTGGCATTCTTGGGAGGTCTTTGGTCACACTCTCGAACAACATCATTGCTCCCGAATTACCGAAGGCTACTGAGTCGCTGCAGGCATTGTCGATGCGACCAAGGAAGAGAAGGAGAAAGAGTTCTTTTACGGAAAATTCATAGTCTCTTTCACTTTTACTTCGCTGTTCAGCAGATTGGTTGGCACTGTCAGTAACCTTGTAGAGTGCAGGCAGCCCACCGGTAAAGTCTGCCCGGAGCCTCTTGTTATATCACATGTATAGGCTCTCAAGGGTCCATCATCATTTCAGACTTGACCGTCAATACTACAGTTCATCTCACACAGTTCGGAATAAGATGAACAAAATATAACCTGATACACTGAAGTACAGGGGTGTTGTGGCTAAAGCCTAGTATTGACATCGTCATCCTGTATTTATTCTTCAAGATCGTCGAGATTTTGGTTACCTGCTCTGCGACTGCAACATCACATGCGTCAGATCATATACTGATCTAAAGTAACTTCAGCATGACAAAAACGGACATTTGCAAAATGACTGACAGATTTCGTAAGGGTAGTCATATGGATCTAAGTAGGAGTGGGGAGGATCGGTTTGATGCGTTGTTCTGTCATACGCGTCGAATACCCCGATAATCGATTTGATGGCCTGGGATGCAGAGGTATACAGATCTAAAACCAAGCTTCAGCACGGTCGAGAAAAGATGCAGAACAAACCGACCATGATCGTGGGGGTGGTGATGCGGATCTAAGTAGTGCAGTGCATCTTTCTTCAGGTCTTTGTACTCATCCATCCCCTGAACTTTCTGGCGTATCTCTCCTGAAAGCGTTGTTAGCTTTGAATCTCGCAATTAGGCGAGCGTTTACCGTGAGATGATAAAGATTCCAATGTGGCAGTCATGCGGAGAGCCTCGACAGGATAATGACTACTGAGCATTTCAGCCAGTATCGTGTCATTCTTGATGATTTCACCACGTAACGACTCTGAGGTTTTCATGAGCATAATTGTCACGAGACAGGTTGCCTTGAAACTCTCACCGTGACGCGCAATCTTTTCTAAGATATCATTGAGAGCCAGAATGTCCACATCTGTGGCTTTAAGACACCACAAAAGAGGTTCTATGATTCCGACGCCAACCATCGCCTGGCATGCGTCCTCTGTATCTTAATCAGCGTGCATTCTCAACAGCAACACGCAAACCAACCGTGATCAGCGATAATGCGCAGGTAGTTGATAGCGCTATTCCGAGTTGTTTCGATCATCTTGTGCAAAATCCCAATAATGTTTGTTGGGTATTTAGGCCTTTCGGAATCATCCATCGCCGGCTTTTTGACTAGTCTGTGTATTGTCTTCTCCCATACGTAGTTTGTCGCATTCTTGAGTAGCCGTTGGCGTGCATCCTTGCCGCTGAAATTCCAAGAACCGTTATCGAGTGACGGTGGATTCTTTGGGTTTAACATCATGGATCGCAAGTCATCTGCACAACTTGTAAGGACCCCATAGACCACAGGAATACCGAATTGCCAAACCATTTTTGAATATCTCCGCAAGGATATCTATGCCCTCCCTCCCGACCGTTCCGTCAAAGATGCGTCCCTCGATCATCTGCAGCAAATACAGGTCCACTTTGGTGCCCAGTATCCGTTCCTTGGCGTCGTCTGAACGCAGCCCAGTCAAACTTGTTGACAAAATGTCTCGAAGCACTCACCGTATTTCATGAGAGTCACAAGCGCATCCGCAGCAAATAACGCATGGTCTGGTTTTGCCAAATTATCGACTATGCTGTCCAGGCCCCCGCTATCAATGATTTGTTTGCGGAGTACATCTGAGACAAATGTCAGTTTTCCTGAAGCAAACATTTGATAGACCGCACCATGTTTTGATAGCTGTGTGAGCTCCTCGGTCGCCTCTTTGCTCTTTTCCACTACTTTATCTCTCGAAAACGCAACTAGTTTGCCGATGTGCGAACCACTTGCGAGCTTGGTGCGCACGTCCTCTGAATAGCGTTTTATCTCGTAAGCAGGGCCTCCTTAGACAATTTCAGATACGAACCGGATTCAGCGAGTGTCATTAAGCCACGCGGTCCACCGCTCAAACCTTGCTTATCGAACTCGAACAGGTCAATCAATGTGACGAGGATATCGTTGCGTATAGCCTCCGCACGAAGTTCATCTATGTTCGGAAGAGTGTCAGCATTGATTACAAGAATGAGAAGAGTACTTGAACCATTTTTGCAAATCTCGCATAATGCAGCTACTGCAGCTGGGGTGACAAAGAAATCACGACGCCTTATCAACCTCTTGAGCATTTTGACGATTTCTATTTGTCTGATTTCAGATAAGATATCCTTCGCCTTCGGGATGTTCTCTGAACACGAAATATCAGGGCGTATTGATTTCCGTGAATCTATGGGGACTGACCTTTGCTGATCACAGCTGCTAAGATCTTTAACGCAGCAACGACAACGGTTGCGGCTGAGATGCAAATGAGGAAGAAGAACGGATCGCCAAGCGAAGACTCACATTTATCTTTCAATATAGCAAGGATTTCTTTGATAAAATCAGATCGTCGGGAAAGGATGTCAGATGTTTCACCTGTAGTTTGATCGCGTATGAGGGAGTGGGTTTGAAATGATTTAGAAGGACGGTGCAACTAACCAAAGCGTTGGGCAAGGTATGACAGTGTCTTCATCGCAATCAATCGGTTTTCGCCGGCCGTCTGACAGAGCTCGATGATTCGATGAATTAGATCGTCGTTAAGGAGCTTCTTTCTGAGTGCTTTGACTTCGCAAAGAGCCGGAAGAGCTGCACAGGCTCTGCCTTGACGCACTAGTTTCTTATCTTTGAGCAGGGCAGGAACATCAAGATTGGCTAGTATGCTTTCTGTGATGTCGTCCTTCTTTTCGACTGTGCGTTTCTGAGAGTTCGTCAAGGGAGCAATGGAGAGACAAGACATACCGAGTCCGCAGTACGCGACGACTGCGCTGAGGCGCACTTCAAGATCATGTTTTTCTTCTGCTGTGTCATTATTCGTGGTCTCCTTGGAATCTGCTGGAAAAGAGATCCCCTCGTCTTCTGCTGCATATTCAATATTCGCAGTACTTTTGCCGTGAATGCCAAGTATGGCTTCCAGCGTCTCAAGTGGGTTCACCTCCCGCACCGCTTCGACTCCGAGTTCTGCAATCCATAAGATCAGGTCAGTATATCAAAATCATCTGATATCTCACTAAATGAACACATGAAGGCCAAGCGATCGACGTAATCAAGCATGTGCTTCTTGTGAATCGTACCGACGAGAGCTTTGGCAGTCGAGCGTTTGAAAGGAACTTCCCAGGCCTGGGTTTGTGCCAGCGGGCCTTGTGCTGACCGCAGCCGCTCGTGCTCGTCGTTGCCAACATGAAAGTAGATCGCCTCAGGCCATTGCTGGAGATTTCTCCAGAAACTTGCTTTCGACCGATAATTGGGACGAAGTAGAACCGACGCATGGACCTTCTGACCGGGTGAGATTATGCGACCTTTTCCAACATGCGGTCTACAAGTAATCAATGTATGAGCTGATTGGAGCAATATGACCACTTACAATGACGTATGCTGATCGGAATTATTGTAGCAAAGACGTCTGATAGGCAATAGCTCAAGCAGCCACCACCGGAAAGTTAACGAGTCATTCGTCTTGGGTGCCTCCAAGTCTTCATATTTAAAAGCTACCTTGGGAGGATGGAGCAGAAGTCCCGCCTCAAGAGCTTCTTCACGCATCCATAGTAAAGGCATGTCTTGGAAATTAAGCGCATTCGTCTTCTCTCTTTTTCCACCACCTCTGGAACAAGTTGTCAAATAATAGCTTTCTGGTGCAGGGGATACATACACATCTGAATGACTACCCGCAAACCAAACCTCCTTTACCTGATCTTTAATATAATATTTCGCAAGATCTTCATTAAGACCATATTCGTCCTTGGGAGGTGACACGAACTGGGATTTCGGTCGATCGCTCATGCCCCCATAAACATACTCGGGTAGGAATTTCACCCTGCGCTCGTCTAGTGCAAGTCCCTGGCGAAAGTAGCAAATGTGATCACATGTATCGGTGGACGGTAAGATCTTCTCCTTCCTGATACCAACAGACGAAACGGTGTCCCTATAAGGTGTATTGATTATGCTGATATGCTCGCACTCGGGGATAATACTCACCATACACCGATGAAATGTATTACTACGCCTTGTCTCGAGAAGGTCGATCTGAATCCTTGCGCAAGTAACTTATCCTTGAGCTTTCCACTGTTGATGGCGGAGTAAAGCTCGAAGGCACTGCTGGCATCAGCTAGTCAGTCAAGAACGATCATCAAATATACTCACTAGGGGATCTGCTCTATGTTTCCGGGTAATATGAGTCCCATCTATCAAAAGAGTAATGAACAAGAAATATCATAGAGCATAGGTCAAAGTTGATGGATACTTCGTGGATCATTCCTGCCAATGCACGAACTTGATATGCACCCCTCGAAAATCCTGACCTTGCATTTTAGTACATTTGACCATATGCAACGTCCAAGGAACGTACCAAACAAGAAGATCTTATCGCCAGGTTGGTACGTGTCCGAAACCCATCTGTAGGCGTCCATAATGGTTTGGCTGATATTACTTTACTGCCGTCACTGCGAGCCGTGAAAGGTCAAAGATACGATACTTACAATGCAAAGGCCAGATCAAAGACACTCGAGACCTGCTTCATCCAGTGTGTATGTCCCTTAGCATACGTTCCTACACCACTGTTGTAGTACGTTAACTGTTCGCGATCCTTGACCATCTCGCTATATAGTTCGACGATATTGGTGTTCTGAGTACGGATATTTATCGTCAAGAAAATCAGAAGGTATGCGCGTTGAACGACCTACTTTATCACCATACTTGTTTGATGTCCCATCTGCAGACATGAATAGTCGTCATCGAGAACTGTAAGTTAAAACGCCCACCGATGCAAATAACCAGGTTTCTCCCTGGTACCTGGTCACCGGAACATTTACACGACTCCACGTCACGGACCTCCGATGAACTGGCAGATGCCATAATCCTGAGTGAATCGAAATTGTTAGCGACTACGCAATTGGAGCCGTAATAGTAGGGTCTGCCACAATAGTGGCTTGAATGCGCGAGATGTTGGATGAGTTCCCTTGCATCAACAAGGTTTTATATTGTCATGCTGAACAGGGTATGCCCACGAGAGTGCGGTCATACGACAACCCGTGCATGAACTGCGTGCGGCACCCGTGGGGACACTAAACCATGGCCTCCTGACTCAAGAAGCGCCACACTAGATCTATGAAAACTGCAGTACGATTGGGCGCAATTTACACATCGTGTTACCAACGTGTTGCAAACTTTATGGTTGAAGCAACTGAGGCACGACAAGCAAGCACAATATCCTTGGCGTCAAATGCAACGTTGGGCGTCTTTTTTCTTTTTATGAACGTAGAATGCAAGAGCTCAATCTGGAAGTAATGAATGGAGGATAGAAGATGACGAGGTTGCATTGCGAGGACACCAAAAATCTGGTATGGAGATGAAGTCGTTGAATGCAGAATCACAGGTTACGTACAAGGCTTTTGTTAAATCATATCACATCCCCAAACTCTTGTAGGGTAGAAGTGACTTTGCGGCTCACATGACTTGCGAAGCTCTCGAAGACCAACCGATCTTTGCCCTCAACCCAGGTAAACAGAAGCTCGCATGCAATGTCACTTGAAGTATAAGATGAGCGTCCGCGACATTCAACCGAACAACGCAGGACTGGCAATTCTTGGTCTGCGTGGACTGTTTCTGGAAGTTTCCCCCTTCGTGCTGCGCGGGACCATGTGTTACTTCGGGCATGCACCAGCATGGTAGAAGAATGATCATAGATCGCAGGCGGAGCCGAAGATGTAACCGTCACGCCATTAATAAGTACAAGAACGTTTCGTAAAGCGCTTGCCAGAATGTTGGCAGATCGAGCGCCCGGAAAGGCGTGATGCAGCGTGTTTCGAGAAGGCATGATGTTCTGCAAGGTTGGATTGGAGACGCGAGCGAAGGTCTGGACAGTGATAAATTAAATAGCTTGCGTGATGGCGAAGTCAAGGAGAAGTCATACATCAGGAAGCCTAGCATCTTGAAATGACCAGCCAATGGCCCAACGACGAGTTTGACCCTGAATAAACTCTGTTATAGCATAGTTGTCTACCTTGTGTCACCGAGTCAGATAGGAGACCGCGGAGTTCCGCAACGCACGCACGTTGTGTTCGCGAAAGAGGGAAACAAGATCGGGAATTGATGACATCTTCCCAAGCATAGAAGTGTACCACCTATGGCACGCATCAGCACGTCTGAAGTCGAACTGTCGATATAATCAGGTCACCGGCACTTCGTCCTCAACTGTAGGCTTTTTGAGAAAATCCGAGCAACAAAATTTGTCTCCCCCCCTGGTGTTATCATCTCCACTTCTGCTCCGGAGCAAACCTGAGTCAATTGGTTAATTCTCTTACATGCACTAACATCGTCTTTCTCACTGCATTCGGACCAAACTCCTTGAATTCGCCTGAGCGTGAGACATCCTCGGCGCTGCTATAAAACGGTGGGTTACACATGGTGAAGTCAAAATCCATTAGACCTGTATGCAGTGGTTGGAGCATGGGCCCATCAGCCTGTACACGCTCCACAACAATGCGACTGTCCATAGAATTCTGAGAGACGTTTTGTTTGGCGAATTGGACAGACCGTTCGTCGATATCTGAATCGTATGTCGCCGTCACATTTCGAAAGCATACCGTTATGGCGCTTACCGGTGGCTACGAAGTTCCAAGTATGTTCAATACTACAAGCCAACAACGGGTAGATTGCCGAGGAACCAGTGCCACTGAGTGATGTTTGCTCCACTACATTTAACCAGGAATAATGTGACGCACATGTCAAGCCCTCTGACGGTGGCGGAACCGCAAGTGGATTTCACTATGTCTTGTAGCCAAAGAACATAGTTTAATCTGTATATCAGATTTCCCGCGCTTTAGTCTTCTTGCATCGATCTGCCAAAAGGTGAAAGCACCTGTTTGGTACCTAATGTGCATCTGGTGTGAGATGAATAGAAGTGCGCAGCAATAAGCCTCACTGGAGGGCAAAGTCTATCGTCCGGCAGGGTTAATGAAAGGCCATAGTCAAGACGAAAGAGTGCTTCCGTTAAACGCCTGCCCCCCATTAGTGTACCGCGACAAACGGAGCTTGGATTTACCTCCGCTCACTTTTGTGCAGCAAGGCTTTTGAAATTTATTGTACTTGATCCCGTATGATTGATGAAGACACTGGATAATCTCAGTGTCTCTCTGAGGTTTTCGCCTGATGAACGCGTACTGTGGTCTGAGGGGAGGGTAGCGCCTCGCAAGTTCAGCAAAATCAGGAGGTTTGTTGTACGGATTGCGAGGGTGCATGTAATGCAATTCCAAATAGCAACTTGAGAATGAGAGAGACTAATGAGCTCGTCGATGATAGGCTCTAGCCTCTGGTCGTTGTGACTTTCCCGGGAGTCTCTCATGCGGCCCAAATTACTATCGGCTGACTAAGCAAGAAGCTGAGTTCTTCCGAGTCACTATGTTTATATACCGCTACAAACAAAGGAACTGTTAAGGGTGCCCTAAGAGCTGTGCACCGACGAGTATGAGGTGTAGGTATATAGTACGAACAACCGCGAACGGCCTGCGTTTGAGATTATGTGTTGGTGTGTGAGTGAGTGAGCTTAGCCGCGGAAGGTCACCGGTCATTAACGTTATTGAGTTATATTAACATTTGGTCACCGGTCAGGGTGCCGATTGGCCCATCGGAATGGATAGTACTCTCCCAGTCTGTCTTGTGTTTAGTTTAGGACCGAGGCTTGGACACGGGGATTACTTACCCGTGAGCTTTGTCCTGCGGCTGTATCAGCTACTATGTGACGCACCCGGGTCAGCTGAATTTGGCCCCACCTGCACCGTAGGTCATACGTATTGTATCCACATGGTAATGGCAAGTCACGCTCCGAACCTTATCTGAGGGAACGAACCATTTATACTAGTAGCGAAACTAGTTGAAAAACATTATTCCATACCTAAAATCCCGAGTCATCCCATCATTGCCCGAGGGAGCGACTGCACTGGCAAGAATGCCGCGTCTGACCTTCGCAGTGCTTGGTGGTATACAGCTTCTTGCTGGCGTATCAGCTCAGACATGGTGAGCATCGTTCACTTGGATACGCCCACCACAAACTTGTACATGTGACCAATGTTTTTGACCCCTTCCGAAGGTGTAATAAGAACTACATGGCTAGCCAGCCTGTTGTTCCGCCAGGAGGCAACTTCCCCATTGCAGCTACATCAGAAGAACCACTTCTTGCCTTCCGATGTGCGGCTGCTATAAAGCCTTACCTGGAAGAGGATGTAGGCACACCTGCAGGCATCCTCATTGATTCACCCGTTGTGTATTCAGAGATAGTCGGGGCACAGCCAATTGGCCTCCCCGCAGGGTCTCTTTCCAGTGCGGGCAAATTGAACGTCACTGTGAACCTGAACGGAAAGACTCTCGTCATATGCGCTTGTGCCGCTCAATGCTTCTGCATATGAGTTATCATTCAGCCTTGATGGGATCACTCCTCAGATGACCCCGTACAACCTCTCTTGCGAAGCCACTTACCTTGCAAGCAACTCAACAAGTTCATCGCCACCTCAGACCTATAGCGCTTCAGCAGCTCTTTCTGTGCTCCCTAATCCGACCAACAGTTCCGTGACTAAGATGGATTTGAGAACTGGAGCACTTCTGGCAAAGCCAGCAACTGGGCTGGGTGGAGAGTACGAGCCAATCTTTCCGATCGGCTTCTATACGACCTTCGATGGATACCTCTCAACAAATATTTCGGCGGTTGATACGCTGAAGAGTCAAGGGTAAGTCTCTTATATGATCGTCCATACAAATCTGATACTGGCCTTTAGGTTCAACATTGTATGTTTCTTAATGTTTGCATAGAGCAGCCGAGTGCTTACCGTCAGCGCAGATCCATATTGTCCCAACATTCGATAATATGACCGCCTTTGATATGGTTCTTGATCGTATGCAAGAAGTCGGCATGTATCTCATGTACGATATGCGATACACCTACATGAACAACACTTCCGTGATGGAGCAGGTAAATTCACTCAAGTACCGCCCCAACCTCCTACTATGGTACACTGGTGATGAACCAGACGGAACCTCGGACCCATTGAACGCCACGAGTATTGCATACGACCTCATTTACAGCCTGGATGGTTATCATCCAGTCAGTCTTGTGCTGAATTGCCAGGACTACGAATGGGCCTCGTACACCGCAGGCACAGATATCGTCATGCAAGATGTGTACATGATCGGGAACAATGTCACCTCGTCCAATGAGTGGAACACGACTTGCACACCCGACTATGGTTGCTGCGGTTGCGACAATTGCCTCAGCATTTCTGCCGGAGATAGCGCTGCTGTTTCACCCAACTCCACCTATTATAGAAGCACCGTCCCCGCAAACAGCGGTATCGGTTCGTACTTTGATATTAGCGACCGGGTTTCCAGCTTCAAAAATCGACTGGAGGTGATGGGATGGGAACGTACCAAGGCGGTATGGACTGTTTCTCAAGCTTTTGGCAGTGCGCAGTCAGTAGTCTTTTGTCACTTTCCTGTATCTGCTGTTATTGACTACACTTGTCAGATATTGGACGCGTACTCCTACAGGCGAAGAATGGGTTGTTCAGAGTATCATGGGCATTAATCAAGGTGCTCTGGGTGTCGTCCCCTGGGTAGATCCAGCTCCCGAATATATCAAGATGGCGGCGTCCGCATTCGCGCTGAGCTTGCCGAAGTTCACTTCATATATCTTCAACGCTGCCTCAGTGCGCAGCAACTATTTGGTCGGGGGTGTTGACATTGCTATTTGGGCGGCAGGAAGTGAGATTCTCGTCCTCGCTACTAATACCGATTATATCACCTCGGAGGTGACCTGGGAAGATATCGCACTCCCTGGGACTAGTGTTGTTGTTGAGATTGTGTACACAAGCGGAAGTGTCGAAGCCACCAGTAACAGTTTCACATTTGGTAGTGTGGCATCTGCGGCACTCGTAGTCAGTTTGGGATAACTTCTAGGGTTAGGGTTGGGTGTAGATAACAAATTGACTATAGCTGAACATTCCGTACTAGATTAGAAATACCATGGACCACATAACTGATGGACTCTACTCGAATGGCACCCGCCACCAAAGAAAATGAAACATACGAAAGTAGCGTTCCGATAAGTTATGACATTGAAAACTATCTAGATCTACTCCATGACATGTGTATAACGTGCGACACCTCCGGGCGCTGAGTCTGTCCTCGTTTTATACGAGATTGATCATAGGATATTCAATACCTGGTTATATCGGTATTCCACCAGTTCGTATGCATATGCGCGGTCAACGAGGTCGAGACAGTTTCCAATACCGTTCGAAAGCAACCCATGTCTGAAAAGTGAGATGAAGTTAGCGAGAGGGTTTTGAAAGAAAAAGCACGAGAAGAGAGGTCAGATGTTTCATATCTCGACATGAATGTTAAGACAGGGATAACTGAAAGATAAAAAATCTCATCATAGAAAAATAGCACCGCTAAGTGCGAACGGAATGTTGGGCTGAATTGAAGTGCTTACATTTGATCTATAAGTGCGGTACAATGGATTGATGACCGGCATTCGACAAACCAAGACGACAGGAAAAAAATTTCAGCTCCAAACGACTTCCATGAAATCGCCTCTACAAGTCGGTTTGGAGTAGAGTGAACATGCGAGCATTCACTTCCAAAGCGACAAACTCGCAGAAGAATGAAAACTGCAGACGAAGAGGATGTGGGGGCATTTCTGAGACGTGGTTGAAACGTTGAAGAGTAACCTAAAAATTGTTGAGGCTTTTGAAGTGACCTCTGGCAAACAAGTGGCAAACACTTGTGGGAACCCACTGTTACCCGGCGGCAGAGCTTCGCCAACCAACATTAGATTCTTGCTTTATACTTTCAAGTTCTCCTGTTAACGTTGATCATGAAAAAACGAACGCAGAACGCCGGAGGCAAAAGCAGGAGGACTATCACTCAGCTGTTTGTGATGTTATGTGTGCCTTTTAACTTCTTCCACACCCGGTCTGCAGACTGCAGCCAACTTTCCCTTCATGACGGCTAAAACTCATATATATGCTGCGATATAGTACCGCTGCCAGCAGTGATCCTGATGCAATTTCCGATGTGGCGGCTGGAGCCGCCTTAATCATCGCAAGCTTGGCATGGAACTGCCGTCGCGGGTTCACAGGTTCACAGCTATGGCGTTCCTACTATATAGCTGCCCTGAACCTCCGGAGGTAATCACATTAGGACACAGAGCCCCGCAACGGGGACGATCTTGATTCATGACGCAAGATTCATTAGCACGTAGAGCGCTGCTGCACAGCCCGATCGCTCCGGTTACTTTTTCTGACCTTAGCAAACAGTCGAACATCGCATAAGTTGTGATGAGTTGGTCAGCGATATCCCGTACCTTCCTCCGTTTCGTCGTGGCTATGGTTACTATCGGCCTGGTTCGAGGTTTGCTCGCTCAGAGCACGACATTGTACCTATGATCCTGCACCCTACTTGCTGTTTCCTAAATGTTTTCAGGTGCGGAAATAATTTTATCGTAAATCAATCTGCAGTACCCACTGGCGGACACCTTGTCCTGTCTATGCAAAGTGCTGAGCCACTTTTGTCGTTCCGCCGCTGTGCTCGCTCGAAGAGGATGCGAAGAGTGCAGCATTTGTAATTGACACACCAATTGTTTCTGATTGGATCGTCCTAGTGCTGAGCGTGTCTCACTTTCTTCCGGCTCCAGCTCCCCTGGCAGCTCCACTGACCTAGGAAGTCTCTATGTCACTGTTAGCGTAGGCTCCGTCTGCAGCACCGCAAACGTCCCTCTGAACGCCACTAGCGTTCAAATTCCTGCGGATATGAGGCTCAGAAGACTGCATACAGGGCCAGTTGCTCTGCTACATATCCTGCCCCTTTGTCTCCAATGTCCCAGCATGCCAATGAGTAGACATTCAACACAATTACATCCCTTTTGTATCTCACTGACACACTGGCAGATGCTTCCGTCACAAAGGCCGACTTGCGCACTGGTGCATTCTGGGGGCTATTCAAGAACTACCAAAACCTGACTGCTATCACTCAACAAGTGAATGCTTACGTCTCGATTCCCGAGCCCGACTATAACTCTTACCCCGAAAGTGTGACGCGGGCAGCGTACGACTTGATATACCAGTTAGACGGATATCATCCTATGTCTATAGTATTAAATTTCCAAGACTACAAGTTCTCGCCTTGTGTCAAGGGGACTGATATCGTACTGCAAGTGAGCCACTAATATGATTTTCATCATGCGCTTCTAATCGCTGGTATCGATGCTACATGGTCTCCTGTGTGGAACAGGGAGTGTAACCCGGGCTTCTGTCACTGTGGTTGCGACAACTGCTAGGGGGACGTGTGGGATGTTAAAGCCCGCGTCCAGACCTACGCAGATAGGCTCAGCGTCTCGGGGTTTGACTGCACAAACTCTGTATGCACCACCTACCAGGCCTTTGGGAGCGGCGCGTAAATCGCCATAAGTCGCCAATACGACCTCCGTAATGTCTCTGATTACAGATACTGGGACACAACTCCCACTAGCCTGCAATGGACAACTACGAGATTTATTTCCTTCACTCATGGTGCTAAAGGTAAATGCATGCTGATGTTGCACGCGTGAATAAATCCTAATTACATCTCCTAGGTTCTAAGTCCTACCAATACCCAACTAACTACAACCGGTAATATCGAGACGATCAAGGGGACGACGATTAACCTCAAGGACGTCGTTACGCCGACCCGAACACAACATCTGTCCGCTACGATTACCAGAATGTGGATACCGATCTCTGGTACAATGGGACTGCATGCTTGCTCATCGTAGTCAACCTGGGCAACGCACAGGTCTACATGCCATGAACGGGACTGGATTGCCGATCACCACCAACGTAATGACGCAGTTACAATGCATATTATCCATCGACATGAATACTAACATCACTAGTCTGAGGTTTCAACCTGGAGGTATTGGTCATTTTTACTGTGACGCCCTGAAGCGGTCATAGACTGAGGACTGGTAAGGCTGGGAATTGATGGCCCTGATCAGATTCAATATCAATGCTTGTTTTTATCTCAGATTACCGCATGCGTCCATAACTTTCGTGAAGTCAAGTATTGTGGGACTTCCTCTGAATGAAGACAACAACTCGCTGTTGTTTGAATTAAATGCCCGGGGGTGTCACTCATGCTCGCTCCCAACAAGGAACAAACATTGAACTCGTAGCGGAACCAGACCCTGCACTCACCACCGGAAGCACCCGCTGAACGATATGAGCTGCATACTCAGACTCCGGATTACTGTTGATCTTCACGCGTGTAGAGGTTCGAGACGATCGTGTTGTCATCTTCAATTTGCTAATCATTTTGGATTGAATCACGAAGACAGTAGTATGGCCAGTGTAAGATAAGAAAACGAATGCAGAACCCGCCGTAAGCAAAGCAATCTGTATCGTTGTTTGTGAACTTGCAACAAGGGCCAAGTGGCAATGAACAAAAGTATACTTCCTCAACTTGTCCTCTATGTGTAGTGTGGTCCAGTAGCTAAAGAAATAACGAATGGTCGACGAATGGGATTGTATTTTTGGAGGGAGAATTGGGTAAGAACCTTCAGGCCTCGGGTCCGAAGCATATACTCGGACCTGGGTGAACCGTAAATTCCCAAAGCTAGGAGAAAGAAGGCGTATCCAGCAAGGCTTTCAGAATCACATTCAAAAGCTAGGTAGACTCACGGCACGATTTGTTATTCGAAAGATGACAGTTGATGCTTGAGACGACGTGATGATGATTCATTCAGACCAGTACTATGGCAGATGAATCGATGGTTGCTGAAATCGACGCGACCAATAACAAACTCCTTGACGTCAACTTGTGAGACCTCAAAATTCAAACAATTATCAATGCAGTGTAAAATCATGATTTTAGCTGGCTAGATGCAGCAAGTATATTGGAGACCAAGTAAATGATAATGTGGGTGACCATGTGTCATTCAGGTGTCGTAATCATAATGCCTTCTTTGTAGAGGCTCGTTTGGAGTAGATCATGTCAGTGAATGGTCTAGTATTATCCGTCAGAAACGCTGACACAATTGGCAAAGCAAGAAACTTACCCTTCGAATCGTAGTGCAATTATGTAAACGATGTACACGTACAAAGTAACGAGGAGTCCAGCTGGCCGCTCGTACCTGTGCACAACGGATTGAGATCGTGCGCAAATGCGGAGCAGAAAGAATCAATACCACAAGGCCGTCGCAATAAAGCACATCGTACTTCCAACATACATAGGATCCCTCAGGACATTGAACGGGAAACCCTGTACGCGGTGATCCATCAAGATACCGAAGTAGTCCCCGAGGAAAGTTCCAGTTATTCCGAGGGCCCAAGTGGAAGTGACAACAAACAGCTGGCCGATGGCGAACAGAACAATTGGTACCAGTGTGTCATATGGCGCAGAGAGCATAGGAACTCGAGGTTGGTCGTTCAAAGCGCGCTGATATCTGTTGGGTGTCAAGCAGTGTCTACCAGAGTTATCGTCCATCTTGAACATACAAATGGTCACGAAGCATCCCAAACGAAAATATCATGATGGCTAAGAAGTAACATCCATAGCGAGCATTACCACCAAATATGCGAGTAATTGTCTTGTTTCTGTACTCTGCAACATACAAACACGTGTCAATGCAAGCCGGGCACAATTTATCGATTCCTTCACCATTCCGGGCCACGATGTTCCAGGCTGTTGGGTTGAACGCGATGGAGAGAAGCGAAACATACAGAGACGTCGCAGATACATCTACAATGGTAAAAAACGCGTCCATGTCAGCTGGCCTTATCGCAGTTCAAGCTGAGAGGTGAAAATATTCGGTTCTTTCAGCGCTCTTAACTTCTGCGCGAAGTTCCCACGGTCACCTGTCACCGCGGACTTACTGCCAATGGTTGAAAAGCTTGACTATGTACTCGCCGCGGCCCTAGTATGCATATATATACATATCTGCAAGAGCTATTCATAACGATGAATCATTTCCACTTGATGTAGGCCAGCTGGACGGGTGACCACTATATCCCTTATCCATATTGCGGACGTTTTCACACGGGATCACACCTAAACACTCTTGAAGCTTGAACGTTGATCAGTGACAGTGATCGAGTCGTTGTAATCAGCTGGGTCATCAATCATTTACCATGGATCTTGGATTAAAGGGAGTGCATGTCCTCGTCACAGGTTGTAATTGTATCCTTTTACCATGTTAGTGCTGATCTGACGCTACTCACAGGGGCAAGTGGCGGCATCGGGCTCGAGACTGTGAAATTGTTTTGTAGTAAGTCATTTCTCCAAAAAGATGAGCATTGAGTTGATGGTATCCAGCACTTGGTGCAAATGTGACCGCACATTACAACTCGCAGTTTGGTCCGATCCAGGAACTTTTGGCGTCGAACACCAATCTTCAACACGTCCAGGCGAATCTATCTCAAGAGCAGGCTGTGGTGACCATGTTCGAATCGCTTTCTACTATGCCTTATGGCCCAGTACAAGTAGTCGTCATCAATCACGCTATATCTCACAGTTTAGCTGTGCCCATTGCTAGGATGACGCTGGATCAATGGAACACCACAATAACTGTGAACTTGACGTCTTCATTCCTTGTGTGTAGAGAGTATTTGAAACATCTGGAAAAGGCTTCCTCGGGTATCAAGGAAAAGGCAACAATTCTTCTTATCGGAAGTACTGCTGGGAAGTATGGTGAAGCTAACAATGGGGACTACGCTGCGGCTAAGAGTGGTCAGTAATGGTTTTTGTCCGCACTTTTGATATGGACCTATGATATTCTAGCGATGATGTATGGTCTGAACCTGACGCTGAAGAATGAAATCGTGAAGATAGCCCCGAAAGCCAGAGTTAACTGCATTGCACCTGGCTGGGTCGAGACACCCATGGTTGAAGAAATCTTGAAGGATCCTCAAACCGTGTCCCGCATATTGGCTACGTCAGTAATACTATTTGATTCATTCTATCATTTATGTTGAATATTATGCCACCGCAGTATTCCACTTAAGAAAGTGGCGATGCCGATGGACATCGCGACACAGATTGTGGTTCTTGCATCGTCTACTCTTTCTGGTCACGTCACTGGCCAAGTGGTGATGGTTGAGGGTGGAATGGAAGGGAGACTGCTAAATAGACCTGAAGATTTGCAGGGATGCTGAGAATTAAGGAAGAAATATTTGAATGCCTTTTCTAATCTGTAACATGTACCATATCAAGTGCTTCTTGCGTGGTGGCGGCCTCGTGTGTATCTAAGTAAGAGTGTGGACGGTCCTCTGGACCGATGTGGTTTGCTTTGTCAGCATTCGCTTACCCGCTGAGGCTAGCAGCGGACCGGGCGTGACTTTGCGAACCACTTGATCTTGTACTTCTAGTTCTCTCGCAATTCTTACCCCCTCTTTAATCAAATATCAACCAGCCAGCTAGATACAATGGTATGCGAGCATCAACCCCCATCGTCTTTGTCACTTATGATTTCAATAGTCCACCAACTGCAGGAGACGGCTTATCCGTGACTTCAAACGTCTCTCTAGTGACCCGCCAAGTGGCATTTCTGGAAGTCCATGTCCAGATAACATCATGATCTGGAACGCTGTAATATTTGGGCCTTGTTAGTCTTCCGTCTCTGTATATGACTCCTCTTCTGATGCTACTTACAGCTGATACACCCTTCGAGGACGGCACATTCAAACTTCTGCTCACGTTTGATGAATCTTACCCCAACAAGCCGCCTACAGTGAAATTCCTTTCCAGAATGTTTCATCCAAACGTATATAACAATGGCGAGCTCTGTCTGGACATTCTACAAAACCGCTGGTCTCCCACATATGATGTCGCTGCCATCCTTACTTCCATCCAGAGTCTACTGCATGACCCTAATCCGAACAGCCCAGCAAATGCAGAGGCTGCGCAGTTGTACCGAGAAAACATGAAGGAGTACGTGAGAAGGGTGAAAGCCACAGTGGAGGATAGCTGGTTAGATCCAGAAGAGAAGCAGAAGATGATAGTCGATGGCGACGGGGAAGGTAGTACAGAGTCTGCTGCCTGACGTATCCTTTTGTTTGGTTTTTGCACTCACGGACAACTTCTGCAATCTCTGTTGTTTCGTTTCGGTTTACCAGATTTAATTTAATGAGGTTTGTGTTCGGACTCCTTGTAAATTGTCATCTCGATCATACCCGCCAACAGTGGTTTCCTTGGCCTTGAACAATACTTATCCATGCATTAATCGTGCACTATTTCAGGCATACGTTAATATTCTGGCATCAGTTGCTCTACCAGTCTCCCGTAGTAAAACCTTTAGAAGGAGGGGCTACGAGCGATACAAGTGGTTGGATTATATCCGCATTCATCACAATCAGGAAAGAGTCGGTGAGTTGGCGAAAAACTACATTGAATGTTAATGTCGAGCATTCCACAGAACCTAGTCTGGAGGCTTGTGAGCGTATGCGCACCGACAGGGCACGATTTACTGTCTCATGCACTGCTTCTGAAAGCTACTAGTCGAGATAGCTCTGGGATCGACATGAAGATATTTATATTTTCAGGTCTCGTTCAGTTTCAGTGCTAAAGACCATCATAATTGGCCGCAGCACACAAATTGCACATCTTGCAGTTATCATCACAAGCAAACGACTGCTCGAGCGTTGCTTTCCGATAACAGCATACCTCTCTCATCTGAATCGGTATGTGCTATAGGGTAATATATACTATTTGATAGAATACACCATATCCATATCTCACCTCACAGGTGACCAATCGGCTGGTGGTTCGTGCTGTTCTATCATCATGCACTTGGACCAGAAGCTACATCGGTTGGGCTTCGCGATCTCGTTCATCCGAGTCGTGAGAAGACCCCTTATAGCCTCTCATTCGCCCAGAGATATATGAGGCGGCTCAGATGTCGGGACTGCGGACCGCCTCGTAGGATTTGTACCATGGGTCCTTGGAGCCCTCGGATGGGATCAGCCGTAGAACGCTTCTCTGCCCCACTGAAGATCAAAATCGTGACACGTTTGTGAAGATGTTGGAGTCGGATTGCTGCGGCGTTGCATTAGATCTCTCCAGGTACATGCTACACAAGGCTTACCCATGTACGAGCCACCACCGTGAGTGGTTTTGCAGGTCCGGGCGTAGTGTATACACAGCATGATGTGAGTGAAAAGACAACGCGAACCACGTGCTGCGGTAACCTGTATCAAATTTCAAATTTCGTGGCCTAATCCGTCTGTGTTATGGTCCAAAGTTTCGTTGTATAGTCGCAGGACAGGTTGGGCAACATGTATAGTGCAAGGCCAGGATACCCAATTGGTGGCTGACCGAAACGTGAGACTCGTACAACAAGTTACAACACTTGGTGCGTATATGTCCAAGGCTATGATGTGCAAAGTCCCACATACATCAAGATCGCATCAGCAGATCCTTCGCGCAGCACTTCATCTACTTATGTAGAACGGTTTATGCCGAGAAGTTGCCCAGAAGCATGGGATGCACATAGTCTCACGTACAGAGTACCCTCGTGTAACGTTGCTACGCAATCTCGGTCAAAAAACCATGCGAATGCGGCTGATGCAATGATTGAAAACAAGCGGTGAGTGAGGGCCATGCCTCCGACTCCCGAGGCGTCGACGTTGAGTAGTCAGAACACCAATACGTCGATCTGTTGCAATTCTTCAAATTCGTCCTTCTACCACATTTCGTTGTAAGCAGAATGAATCAAATATAAGTTGCAACTCACTTTCAGTAGCAAAATTCTACTTTCGTCCATCAAAGTATCATCCACATCAAACAACTCCTCGCTAACGATCTCGCGATAAGGCAACGCATATCCTAGTGGTTCCGTAAATGGGCAAGAAATGGCGCTAGTCAACTCGCCTTGCACAAGTCGACCACGCCAGCCTGATTTATCTTGGGCGTGATAATTCCGAGCGATGTGTGGATTGAAATCTCTGATGCGTAACCGTCGGGGCTCCCGTGACACTTCAGAAGGGTCGTTGATGGGCTCAACAACACGGAAACCATAGAGTGAGGACTGCCAGTCCTCATTCCTTTGAACCCGGAACCACGTCGTATGCTGCGGCCCCCACGTTGACCAAAGCAACTTGGGACCATTCAAGGTCGGTTGGCCGTAAGTCCTGGCGAATAAACTTTCGAGTTCCAGAATGGCGCTGCACAGGATAAAGAAGCTATAGCGGTGGAAATCGATTGTGTTCGTATCCATTGTCCCAGTGACGGAGACATGAATGGCTATGAGTTGATCATTCGTACTCGGGTGAAATGAGCATGAAGGTTGATAGGACTTTCGAGAATATGGAGCCATGGAGCCAGGAATTATATTTTCGCCCGTGAATGCCTCTGTGTATGAAACGTGATTCATGAGAGAAGGCAAAGAGAGTTTCGCGGTGCATTGAGGGGGCTTTGATTTGTCGGCAACATCATATATCTCCACGGTCCCGAGGGAGTCAATCACGAGGAATTTATCCTCTGCAATGAAGGAGCAGTCGTTGATACCACGGTGAAACCAAAGAACGAACTGTGGTGCCAATAAGCCTCTGGCCGTCTTAACTGTAACAGCACTTTGATTTACCTGGTACCCATTCTTGGATTTCCAGTCCCACATTTGCATATAGTCTCCGACTATGCCCTCATTTGCCACAATATTCCACAGCAGCATACTAATGTAGTTCCCCATGATTTGGACATTCACATGGCCGGTGGATTGTATTATTTCGCGGTCAATGAGATCCTTGTCGAGTGCCTTCAGGATTGGCTGCGCCGCACCGGTGTGAACGTCGTTCGTTGTCAGCGACCTCAGATGGATATCGTATGCATGAGTCCGGCTTCCAGCACAGTTTAGCTTGAAAATGAACTGGGAAAAGACTGTAAATGCTCACGGGTCTGGTGAATATGCCACCACGACAAGTAGATCTTGCGCAGCACAGAAAGTAAAGTCCACCGAGGTCGTAGCATCAACAGGGTGACTCCAGCAATGTAGATCATCGGAATCAGTCGTGGATGGTAGACGCGTAAAGTGGATGCAGTCCTCCCCAGCAGAGCCGTATACACCACCCAAAAATTCAAATATAGGTCCCAGCATTATTGATGGGAGCGTGCACTTCTGCTTGTACTCGAAGCGTTGCCATGCAGCATCATGCTGTCTCAGTCGTTTGCGACATGTAGCCGGTGGGACATCCATTTTGGAGGTTCCTATTGGAATCATTTGGAAGTAGCTGAGGTCGATGACATATTGTAGCGTCTCCGAATTGTCGATCATCACTTTCAGCGCTTTGCAGGTCTATGGCGGATGAGCATAGTGAGATGAATCCTGTGTTCGCTTACCTGTCGTACCCGTACTAGGTCGTATGAGTCAAGGGGTGACAGTATAAGGTACAGAAGCTCTGGTGGGAGCTGTACCAGTGTTGTAGCTCTCAGTGTGTGGCCCATCCGAGTGAAATTCCAGGACATCTCACAGCGAAAGGTCAAGCGCAGCGCAATATTGGAGCCAAGAGGAGATGTTACCGGTCCGGGCCGCCAGACGAGATTTGGAGAGTAACTTCAAGTTATACTTCGAAGTTCGCACTGTGAAAAATGCAGCTCAGTAAGTACCTTGTGAGTTATCACTGTCTTGAAGGCGATAGCCCAGAAAGTACAACCTATACTCAGGCTCGGGCTAGAAGCCAATCATAGAATCCTTCAGCTTTTGAAATTCACGCGTAGTACGGCCCTAAGACCTGTCGGATGCCAAGTTCACACGCATCGGCATGCACCAACAAGGACGTTCAAAGCCTCGAGCTCTACATCAACTTGAAGTAGTACTTTCAACTTTTCCGTGTACGACCAACGACAGTCTGCGACTCATCGGCGGGAATGCTAATCATCGCGCTTCTTCTGGCCAGCCACTCAAATATGCAATTGTGGAGCTGATATTCTTCAAATTTTGCATTTCCGTTGGTGTTCACATGTGACATGGTATATTACTTCTACTATGAGCAGTACAGGGAGCATTGACCTCGCGTTCAACGAGCATGAATACGACGTGTAGCCGTCCCTAGTTGAACGATGTTTTCAGCCCAAGCGCGTCAGCCCACTGCACAATGTCAGTGAGACATGTCGTGTGTGGGAGGAACAGCTTTGAGGTTCGGAAAGGGGCAACGATGAGATGGATATGGACTGCCAGGGTAAGCAGGAATGGTAGGGTTTGCAGAAGGCCAGCGGAAGGAGGTCGTGCATCCCACCAGAAGAACACGATCAGCTCTACACATATTGGGGATCGAATGGCGACCTATCATACAAAAATTGTCTGAAATTGATTGTTGTTCCCGGAGGACTCAGACTCGTTCAAATATCTGATAGTGGAAGTCGCCGGTATCATCTCGATACTTTCACTGGCAGATAAACGAGTAGGGTGAAGATGCGCATCCGAGACATGCAACCGAGTCGAACTGTCGTTGGTACGCTCAACCAAAGATATCCCGTCACCGAATTGCTCCCGCGTATGTTTTAGAGTTTGTTTGGCATTATTTGGCAACGCCTTCATGCTTAATTGCTGTACCTAGTCACGTACGTTTAAGGTGCTGCCGCTCGTCTATCGCAGCCATACGCGAAGATGGGTGATATGTCCAAGAGCACACCAAAGAAGACATCGCGCATCCTGGCTGCGCTGGACCACTCCATGCTTGCTTCTTCCTCAAGTTCTCATACCACTATGCAAACATCCCAAATTCTCGGCAAGCGTAAATCAGATACCTTTCCTGTGTCGCCGGTGAGGAGAGTACGAACTCTCCCAGACATCGGTTCCGTGGTTCATGGACCAAACTCACCATTCAACAAGCCTGTGCATGCGAGTAAGAGAACTGCAGATATCCATTATCATCATCTCATGAGTCGACTGCAGCTGGCGCTTCATCGCACGGTGCTTCGTCTGGAGCTGGCGGATCTAAATCAACAACCAAGAGCGATATTCAAAGCAAGCTCATTACATCTGGCTTTTCTTTGAGATACGACGACAAAACTCCTGTTAGTCGCATTGACCAAGGAGGCCCTGATCAAGAACTGAGGTACTTTGTGCGAGCAGTGGAATAGCACCCGTCGCTGACCATCATACAAGATTGGCAGAATTTGTTTATAACTCCATTGAAAACCTCGGGGATAGGCGGTCCGTTAAGGATGCTATCCGGAACCTCGGTCTTCAGAGGTACGTAGTAGATTCAATATGACATTCGCGATAGTTATACTGAGATTGTATAGCGACAAGGATCTCCTCCCCGGTCTTGAAGTACGGCTTTTACCTCACCAGCTCATTGGCGTCAACTGGTACGAGTAGTATGTAGGTTTCTGTGCATATATTAATCTCAGAGCGCAGGATGGTGGACCAAGAAAAAAAGTCCCCTCACAGGGGTGGTATCTTAGCGTAAGTAATTTTTGATTTTCAACCCATACACCTTATATACTGATTTGACTCAGAGATGAAATGGGCCTTGGTCAGTTGTTTTCAACTTCGTCAAAATACATCTATGACGAGGTATTATGTCTCAGGCAAGACTGTCCAAATGATTGCTACAATGGCAGTTAATTTGCCCAAGGACACTGACGCTGTGAAGACCACCCTCGTCGTCGTTCCCGCCGCGCTCCTTCAACAGGTTAGTCGGTCTTCCTTGATCGGCATTTCCCACGTTGACGCCATTACCAGTGGAAAGAGGAAATTGAGACGAAGTCGAACGACTTGTTTACCGTTCATATACATCATGGACGGGACAAACTTTCCACTCTGATGGATGTCAGATCTAAAGATGTATGTCATTCGAATCATCGCAGCTTCGCAAAGTGACTGAGGTGTTATTAGGTCATCATCACTACATATCAAACTCTGAGCATGGAGCTTACCATTCCAAAAGACGTTGAAGAAGGCGAGGAACTGGCATATCTTGAGAATCACGGGTAGGCAACACATTATTTGCACTATGTCGACCCCTTCAGCTACCTTGCAGAGGGGTACTTGGTCGCATGAGATGGTATCGTGTGATTTTAGACGAAGCCCAATTTATTCGAAATAGGTATGATCAATATTATTTCATTTACCGAGTTCTTTGACACTCCCAACAGAGGAACACATGCTAGCCGCAGTGTTGCTCGTCTCCGTTCGACTTATAGGTGGATGCTTACAGGCACGCCTGTAACGAATACACTGTATGCCCAATTTTTTCCCAGCATTTCTTAGTTACTCAACTACTCCCAGTGCTGACATATATGGACTTATTCGCTTTGGGCGTTTCCGCCCTTGGAATGACTGGGAGTCATTTAAACAATATATTGTGCGTTCCTTGGTGGTTTTGGACGTTCTGTCTCTCATCTTCATTTAGGCAAAGGTGCAGCAGGAAGATGCGCCGCTGGCGGGTGAGTAAACCTCCCGTTCTGATGCAGTTCATGGCCTCAATTACATAGCAATGCGAGCGCAGGAGATTATGAAACCCCTGTTACTTCGCCGTACCAAACAAGCTAGATTGGTGAATTGCTAATAGGATATCTTATTCCTGTATTCTCACTCATGAGTTATATAGGAAGGAAAGCTCATCCTTCAACTACCCCCGAAAAACATTGAGCTCGTGACTCTTGAATTCTCAGCAGACGAGCGGCAGGTGCGTTGATTGGGTACCCTGGCATTTCACATACTCATATCTCCCAGCTGTATGATGATTTCGAAAAGAAAAGCCATGTTCAAATCAATCGCTTCATCAAAAGAGGGACATTGTTGAAGAAGTATGCACTCAGTTATTTCTGCGTTATATTTGCTAAATGCAGTTTCCGTCTCAGTGCAACCGCTATCTTAGTACTTTTTCGCATTTGCATTCCTGTGGTCATTTTTAATACGTTTTACAGGCGATGATCCTCCGGCTTCGGCAGCTGTGTTGTCACCCGAACTTAATCCTGGCACGTCTTTTGTTCTTCGATCACATAGAAGAACTAACACACCCCACAGTGTCACACAGAAGAGCACGAGGACCCTTCCATACTCATGTCCGACGACAAGGGAAGGGAGTTTGCGCGAGCGATCCGAGTCATGGGGACAGCCTGGGTCAGCGATGTGAGTGTTGTTAGTCTACCCATTGTCAGTATTAAACTATCTGCCTACAGGTCAAGAAGAGGTTTGGTGTACTCTATCGTGTGACAAGTAAAGAAGCTAACAATTTGCTACACTCAGGTTCATGACGCGCGCGCTGGAGAGTAATCTATTCGCCTTCACAGATGAGGAGGGCGCAGATCCAACATGTCCTATCTGCAAAGATCGTATGTGCTCGTGTCTCACTAATGATTAATGCTCACATGTATGCGAAAGTGTACGCCAACAACGCTGGCCGTGTCCTTACCTGTGGCCATGAGATCTGCTTTGGTGCGTGAACCCTTATTATACCATTGTTGTCGTTGATCGCGCTCCTGTATCCCTAGACTGTATGCTCATACTTTCGAACTCGCCGATTGTCCACAACGGGGAATTGTAAGCTCCTAATTCTAACTTCCTCCGTTATACCCAACAATTACACAGTGGTCATGGAAACGAGAAAGAAAATCTTCGTGCCGAACGCGAGTATGAAGCAGCTGTTGCAAAAGGTCACCGACCTTGTACGTATCCCTCTTTTCTTCGTCACGCTATTCTCTCACTCATTCGTGCAGGCCCTACGTGCAAGAAGATGAACGACCTGACCCAAACCAAGGTGTTCAAGTCCATTGCATTCGAGCCAGAGGAGGATGAAGTCGAGGAGGCAAATCGCGCTCGTAAGCGCGCTCGCCGGCTTGCGCCTGAGAAACCTGTGCGCCCGGGCACCGTTTCTTGTGAAGAGTCATCTGACTCCGATTCGGAAATCGAGGTATCTGCGCCTTCACGCTTCAGGGGTGCAACGCCGGAACTCGACAGCTCCGACGACGATATGCCAGATTTCTCACAGCTATTCGCGAACGGAGGAAAACTCAAGGGGAAGAAGGCTGGGGGGAATAAACGGTTGCACCAGCAGTCTGACGACGTGTGTATAACTTTTTCTTTCTTGGCGCTGAGTTTAACTATGTGATGTGTACTACAGGACGAAGTGATTGACTTGACTATGGGTGATGTGTCGGACCACCTCGATGGTTCCGACGCTGAGCTCGGAAGGGGGCATGCCGTACGGTTCTCGAAGAAGCACGATGACAATGGAAAAGGAAAAAAAAACCCTAAGGGATAACGAAGAAAAGCCTGCATCGCAAGGTGCAGAGAAGGCAAATTTGGAAGATTCCGGCGCCCCTTCCCGCGCGCTTATCGCCATGTGGCGAAAAGGTGATTACGACCTGGAACCGAGTACGAAGATGCTCGCCCTCATTGATTTCCTCAAGTCGTGGGACGTGAGCGGGGACAAGACAATCTGCTATTCGCAGTGTTCGTACTTTAAGTGACGACCTTGCAAGTTATTGCTGACACAGTATCACACAGGGACCTCAATGCTTGACCTCGTAGAGACGCTATTCTCACGATATGGGATCCGCAGCCTGCGGTACGATGGTTCCATGGACCGGATATCCCGGGATAACACCCTTGTGACATTCAAACGACATGATGGACCGAAGGTCATCCTCATCAGCACGAAGTGTGGTAGTGTAGGCTTGAATTTGGTCGTGGCAAATCGGATCATTAAGTAGGTCTCACAAAGTTCGAGTTATTTACAACACGATTGCTGACAACTATGATGAATAATAGTTTGGACCTATCCTGGAATTATGCGTCCGAGTCACAAGCATATGACCGCGTACATCGTCTGGGACAGGAGAAAGATGTTTTTGTCAAGCGACTTGTTGTCAAAAATACGATAGAGGAGCGGTAAGTTGACCTGTTTCTGTTATCCGAACGCTAACTCAGGTCCACTGCTTTTATTTATTTACTTACTGCCTACCTCCCTCACAACAACTTTGCAGAATGCTCCGCCTTCAGGAGGTTAAAACTGACCTTGCGGACGCCGCGCTCGGCGAGGGTACGGGAACGAAGTTACAGAAGATGAGTGTTAAGGAGATCAAGACTGTATGATATCACATTATTCCTCGCTATGATTGCTGATTGCCCATTTTCGTAGTTGTTTGGGATGAAAACCTAATCCGTAAGCGCGGATGTCACCTTTCTATTCTATTTTCCTCCCGTGAAAGTTCTCTCAGCTCTGTTCGCCTTGGTACGAGCGTAAAACTGACAGCTCAACTTGTTATTTATCTCGCAGTTATGTTCTCATTCATTATTGGAGACATGTCATGTGTATATGCATTAACACCTAAATGACTCTTTACTAGTATACCTTATTGCGGCTAAATGGTAGCATAGCACAATGCATAAACTAGTAGTCCACTCCTCTATCTAGATCTAGCCAATCCAACGCTCTATCGTGAAAAGACGTGCATGGTCCATGAATGAGCCACGAGTACTTTTTACACCAGAAAGGCGAAGACGCCGAAGAACCCTGCCACAGCTCCCATTACCAATTCAGTGTCAACATACGAGCCTGCCATTGCTGCGCTCTTAGACGTGGCAGTCACACTCGTCGACGTGGACGTCGTCGTACTATTAGGCCCGAATGTCATGGTAGGCGGTGTTAAAGTTGGGGCGGTTAAAGTCAATGTGGGTAAAGACATCGAGGAAGGCGGAGAAATGGTGATGCTGTAGGGATTACGGTCAATCTAGTAGCTTATGACAGTCGGAGACGGGGGAGGTACTTACGTCGGGAGTGTGAGACTGCCAGTGGGTAGTGCTGAGATATTGACTGAGGGCTGAGCCTGCACACCAGCAACGAACGCGAGGATGAGAGCAGAGGCAAATTTCATGATGATGATCAACAATGAGTACGACCGTGACAGGTTGGAGTCTGGAAGCACAATAAATGCTCAAGTTCGTCGAGGCTGGCGGCGATAAAATCAGTGCGCGCAACCACGGGGGTCACTAGAGTGAAGAGATGCTCCGGCTAATATTAATAAATTTCTTGAGTGACATCCACTGGCAGTGCAGAGGCCGTAAGAGAGATCATATGAGCGAGCCAACCTTCGATGCTGAACCGATTAGTAGTTGTTGACAGGCTGCGGAAGTTACGAGAGCACAAAAAAATCATTCGATGGACCTGAGCTGAGAATCTATTTATGTTAGCGCGCAAAAGTTAAAGTAATACATAGTTTGATCCGTACGGCATCACCGATCTGGAAATGCGAAACTGCTGTACGTATACGTTGAACGGTTTCACGTCTCCTGCAGCCTGATCTCTATCAGTATTCCACTCACCATCACGGTATCGTCGCAATCGCCTTTCGAATTGGGGCACTCCCGTAGCGATACCCATCTCGTTGTCTTATACAAGCGTTGGATATCGAGTACCGACTCGGGAGGCGCGCTGGAACAAGTGCAAGTGATAACTGCCGTCGACCCCGATTGTCAGGCCATGGTAAACGAGATTTGGATCTACAACCTGAGTGACTCGCAGCGACCGACCGCGTGAATTGGCCACGATGGTTTGAGTCACTTCTAGGTCCGTAGTATGATTGTGCCGCACAGCAAAGCTTGCGCAGAACATGACGAAAGCGAGCTGCCAGCCGTCACCGGCTCACCCTCCATGAGGACAGGCTGATCGCCGTGCATGAAAGTGCATGTCAAACTCTTCTGTTGCTGTCATGACTCGAACCCGAAAGCGTCCCGCAACTGTGGTGGTAGGGACCATCGGGTCAACATTTACGCCAATGTCCTTGCAGTCTATCAAAGCGTGTATAGATGCTACTACCTACTTTACCATCAAAAAGAATTTCACGAGAAGAGGACGCCGCACAAGCTGAAGCTAAAGCAAGTCAAAGGATCTCAAAGTTTGCGCCGTTCCCCTAACAATGAAGACTTGTGCAATCCACAATGCGCCACTTTATCAAACTGTGGATGTGGACCTTTCCCGGTAGCCTACAAAAGGCCTGCACTGCCAATGTCCGCATCTTTAATTCCTAATACTCACAAGTCATTTTGCATCCCCAGCCTCCGAATCCTTGCTTAATTTCTAACCACAAGACCTCGCGGATTCATAAATGATCATCGGCCGTTTGCACGCAATCCCAAACTGGGACATCGTAAGCACTTCCAGTGCGGAGTCGGATGACCTACCGTCTCTGACGGACGCGGAGTGGAAGAACTTGGAAGACAGGCAGTACAAGTTGAACCCTTTGTGGCCTGAGAATGTCTCAGACTCGCTCCCCCCCGAACTCCAACCGTTTCTGCTGTCGCGCCCAGTTGGCACTCAGCATCTACAAGACAACAAGGCCAAGCTGGCTAGGGATGATGAGAAAGATCATTCCATCAGCGAAGAATCTTCCTTGTTTTGGGACGACGAGATGGACCACACCAACGAAGAGTCTTCCCTTTTCGGGGACTCGGATGAGACAGACCACTCCATCAACGAAACGTCGACACCCGCAAGTTTGCCGCGGGACCGCATATCATTGCCTAATGTCGGGTTCCAGCCTCCTGTTGGGCAGCATTATGCTTGGACGCCCTCTCATGTCGGGTTACAGCATCCCGGGGTACAGCATGTTGCTCGGATGCCATCTAGTGTGAATTTCCAGCCTCTCCCTGGACCGCATTATTATTGGATGCCGCCAAGTCAGGGGGCCAACGGCATGATCATGATGCCACCTTCGAACCTGACATGTCCCTATGCGATGAACACCGCATTTCCACCAAGCACTCAATTCTACCCACCTGCCAATGCTTCCACAGCTCCACCCCCGAGCACGTCATCATTTAGGCATCGTACATACATACCGAGGACGGGGAAGTGGACACAGCGTTGAGAAAGAATCGAGGAATCGAAAGCTCGTGTATGATGTAGATAGAGAGCTCGATGTTATGACACATAAATTATTCATTCCTTGAGGGCTCCATCCCATTACGTATATAAAGTATTTGAATCGAGATTGTAGGAGAAAGACAAATGAAATAAAGGAAGGGTTACGATGGCAATAAACACAAGTGGAATGTAATCTAGACCAGAAAGCGACGTAAGTGTGACATAAGGCAGGAAGTCTTGGAGCAGAATGAGGAAGATTACAGTACGAGTCGGGTATAAGTGGCCAAAGTAGTGGGTTATGGATAGTTGTCGATGGCCTTATAGTTCCAGCCCTGAAATGTGGCTATGGGCACGCCTATAAACAAGAGCAGTAAGAATTCAACAACCAATGGGGCACGGCGCACTCTATGATTGGTGTCATACAAAAACTTGTAGCCTCAAAGACTACCTTTCAAACAACGGATGTCAAGGGTGCATATGTCTGTCAAACGATCTATGGGTGTCAATTAGATCGAGAAGCTACTTCGTTCCTTGCGTCTTGGTTAGTGTCACCATAGATTGCCTCGTGAGTGCCCAATGGAAAATGAAGCCATGACACCAATGACAGTGTCCATCGACGCTTGGGATGCCATGCGTGATACGTGGGAAGATTACCTGCGCACAAGTAAGCTTTTGAGCATCCCTCCTGCCACCGACGAGCTCGATGGCATAGGCGATTCACGGTTGTCAACCTGGTCATTAAAATTAGAATAACCCACAGTGCGGGGAAGGGAAATGAGTGATTGAAGGCCAGACTGCGAATTAGCTAGTATGGATACGAAGCTGAAAAACTCAGGTTGGACGTTGAGAACAAGGGCCGGAGAGAAGAGCATGATGTGTCCAGTTGTACTCTCAAGGAAGATGCGGTGCAAGAGAATGCCTGCGAGAACTGCATCGTATTAGCCTAGGGAAACACAGGAACACAGGCTTGCGGGATTGTAGGACCGCGATGGCGAGGGGTCAATGCAGATGAAGGAAGTGGGCATGTCGTGCAAAAAGAGCGTTTTGATGCTTAATATGCACAGCCAGTACTGAAGCTGTAAAGTAAACACGAGGGTCATGCAAGGAAGACGCACGTGTAGAAGACTTCAACAACCACTTCCCTCCTGACTTGAAACTCTATCGAACGAAACACCTACTCCGTCGCAGCTTTCGTTCGACATCAATCTTTCTCTGTACGAGCCGAGTGCATCTGGATTCTGAAGAAGTGATGCTTTCGTACAGCAATTGATGGTAAGAGCTGAAGTTATTGCGCACCCATGAAGTGAATCCCGAAAGAAAAACCGTAGAGCATCCAGCCCCTGCGAAACACAATAACTCAGCGACAATGCCTTACCGAAAGATCAAAGTAAAGAACGACATCGAACACATCCTACACCTCCCTGGTGGACAACGGATCGTCACCAATTCATTTGATGGGTCATTTCGAGTCTTGGACTTGGAGAGTGGCACGCAGGTTGGGGAGGAATGGGAGAACAAAGAAGTAGGGGTGCTTGCCATATCATTATCGCCGGGCGGCAAGACAGTAGCAAGCGGGAGTCGGAATGGGACGGTAAGATTGTGGAACGTCGACACGGGCAAGGTTATCAAAACATTGACGGGGCACACAAAGCGAGTGGAGTCTGTGTGCTGGAGTCCAGACGGCCGAGGGCGAGTGGTGAGTATATCATGGGATGAGACATTCAGAGTATGGGATGTCAAAAGCGGAGAAACTATCCTCGGACCAATCAACGCAGGGGAATATATGGATGGGGTTTGCTACTCACCCGATGGCAAGACGATTGCCACTGGCGGCAAAAGGTTGAAAATCTGGGATGCCGACACAGGGGAATTGCTCAAAACACTCGAGGTCGGAGTTTGGTGCTTGGCATGGACCTCGGATGGAAAAACACTTATCACTGGGGGATCCAAGGTCAGGAAAATTGACACAGCCACATGGACTGTTCTTGATGTGCGCGAAAATGACGCCGATACCATTTCAGTGATTTCAGTCCCAATATTGAACGTATCTTCGCAATCACAAATACCTGGACAAGACAGCGCAACTATGGAACCTCGAAACCAATCAATTCATCGGAACACTACTTTACCATGAAGCTAACGTGAACTCTGCGACCTTTTCTGCAGACGGGAAGTTCCTCATCACTAGCTGTAACAACGGCCACATATACACATGGGACGTTTCCGCTATTGTCAAAGAGGCTGGCCTTCCATCAGGTATTGTAAGTTTCGATACATTTCATTCTCTGACACTGACAACGGATCTGCTCCCCCAGGTTGGGGTTACATCGCGACCAGCCCCAAAGATAAAAGGCGCTCCTCGAATACCTCCAGGGTTTTTTGACGATGCACTGCGAGAGGCTAATGTATGTGATTTCAATCTATTATTCAATTCTTTGACAAATATGTTGTCAGTTGCGCACTCGTCTATCCCAATCCCATGGGCCACATAACTGTCCCACCCCAGCACCACGTCAGCGCACTCTCAGTCCTTTTTCCTCATTCTGGCACCGCCCCAAGTCACATAGGGAAACTGAGCCAGACACCAAATCCCGATCATGACCTATCAGCTGGACCGGAAACCTAGTATCCGGTATACTACGCAAGCGAGATGGATCTGACATCCAGTTGCGAGAGGTCGAGGTCCCTTGCACAGCAGACAAGCCTGTACGTTTTTTCTCTTCGACTATTTATTATTATTATTGCTGACTAGTTTTTGCGCAGAGAAACTATCACGCGATAAAGAAGCCAGTGTCTCGACCTCCTAAGATCCATACCACGCAACAACCTAGTGCAGTAACGCAAAGCGCACCATCATCATCACCTCCAACTCCTACTACTTTGCCACTTTTTGCCGTCGCTGGTACCGCGCCGACAACGGGAACAATCTCAAGTCCTCATATTACTATTGCTGGATGGCGCGCTCGTTTTGTGGGCTGGGTTTGCTGCATGCCTATTCAGCACACCGACGGTCAACATTAGAGACGCAGTCGCAACTACGGCATTGGCTACTGGAATGATATTGCGGCGTAATATCGCTATAATACACTGGATGTTGGCCCTGGACCGGCTATGCGTCTGTTGAGCATGAAGGAAGAAACATGCAGTTCTTGTTTCTCATCGACATTTTGGGTTGTCTCTTTTAGTTCCCATGACCGACCCGTACTCCGTCATTGTATCGTACTTCCTCCTTCCGCTACAGTTTTCTTTTTTGACAAAGTCTGATCCATTGACCTATGTAGAGCTTGCTGCACTCTTCACGGAACACACTACTTGCAGTATGTACATGCGCTATCAACTTTGCGCTCAGTTGTGGTCGATGCTCGCGAGTTTCATTAACGAACACCGTGCTGAGCGTGTTGTCGTTGGCGTGCATATTATCCCTCTCGATGGATCTCCCTGGCCCTGTCATACAACAAACTTGAAATGATCTGCATACTAATGGCGGCCCCCTTCGTACGTGGAAGTTTCTCCTGCTGAATGAAGTACCGCAGTTTTCATGTACCTAATCTCCTTTGCGCCTTCGATTGTACTTGCGCAGATGGGATGTGCCATCGGGTCAAGTCCATAAAATAATCATCAGTCTGTGCTGGATTATGTTGACTTTGGTTCCAAACCAATGCAAGACGATTCAACCTGTTCGTACTTCTTGGGGCCTCAAAGCACCGTGCCATGGCTATGACATGTCACAGGCTGGATCAAGTCCAGCGAGCATCTTCAACTTGAAGATGATCTGAAGAAGGCTGCGATATTTCATCTTCCCGCGTAGCCCTTGTGCAATATTTTTCATCCAGGTGAGTGTCATATATTTGTTAGGGTTGATTTTGCAGTGACGGAGAATGAGGCTCTCGTTAATGCATATGCTTCACGGCAAGCTAACATCCGACTCGGATGTTCAATGCGCACCCACTGTCTTTCTTTGTGGAGTGTGGTTTCTGGCCTCCTCGCTCAGTCAACAACATCCTATACCGTGTAATACGTTTTTTAATGCTTTCATGTTTTCTGGGGACGAGTGCAGGAGAGCCAAGGGCTAATACTACAGGGAGTGTATTAATACAGAGCACCAGGGGGCAGTACTTCAGGGAGAGTATTGATACAAGGAGCCACTGGCCAGCACTGAGAAGTATGCATTCATGACTTGTTACTGTGGCCAGTAAGTATTGATGCACCTGCCAGGGGCCAGGGTGTGGTGTCTTATGTCACTCGAAATGAATTCCAAACACTTTGAATCCTTGCTAATGATCAACATATGAATGTCCATCTGCGTGCAGGCTCTGGAGTGCTGCATTCACCTCTCACCAATTTTACAGTGCTTGTCCTCCGTGTTCGTACTAGAGAATGTTGTGTGCGCGTCATACCGCGTCAAAATAACTACGCCCACAGCCACATTTTCACAGTTCCCCACGACTACCGGCTCGATTTACAAATTGCTACTTCGATTATTCTAGATTCCCCTCGTTCTAGCTCGAAGGATTTTTCACTGGGCTTCAGCGCTTAATGGCAAGGGTGTTTGAATGTCAGATTCACATCCAGACAGGTTTGATCGATGAATCTTGCAAATGAACGTTACTACGATACAGCATGACTCACGAGTCTGCGTTAGAGTGTGCAATCCAGCCTGTGCGTTTTTCTCCTTGATAGGTTCTTTTCACAGTCTCATTCTCACGCAGAGGAACTATCATGCGAGAAGGAAGACAACTGCGACTCAGAGACCCTTAGACTCTCGATCTCCCAATACTTATGCCACGCACCAACCCAGCGAGGCAACGCAGAGCATACCACCATCATCGCAGCAACCACCTGCCACTGCCGCATTGACAACTGAAACGTCATTGCACACTGATATCACTGAGAAGCAGGTTGGATGGTGGACTCGGTTCTTGCTATGGATTGGTGTCTATCCAGCACATGGAGAGTCGACATCAAGGGAGACAGATGACGGATTTCGTGCATAATTTGACATAT